CTCCTCACAGCTGTGTGGCCTTGGGTGCATTACTCAACCTCTCTGTGCTTCAATCCCCTAACTGGCAGAGCAGTTGCCTGGCGACGGGTGTGTGACGAGGGCTGCCCTGGGGTGGCTGTGGCGATTTGGCAAGGCCAAGGCAAAGGGAAGAGCAGGCATGGGCACTGTGTGACCCCCGTCCTACGTGTCCCCACACCTGCACTGGTGACCGGTTCCTGCCTGCGCTCCCGCTGGCCCAGAGCCCAGGAACGAAAACGCCTCATGGTGTCCAGGCAATGACTGTTCTTAACTCAGCCTCGCTAGCTGGGACGGATTATGGTGAGGAATTGCTTTTTCATGGAAATGTAAAGAAAAGATGGAATCTTTAAACCCTCTCGGAAAGTTCTCTATGTCACTGATTATCTCTAGTGACCCAAACTGCCAGGTGTCAACTGTCCTGTACATCCGCACAGGGTGGCCCTCTGGCTCCGGACAGCCCCCTCCAGCTCTCACCAGCTGGGACACCATTTGAGCCCCATAGTCTGCCGTCTCTGCTTCTTCACGGACTGATGACCCTGAGCGACCCCCGGGCCTTTGCACTGTCCGCAGCCTCAACACTCACCGGCCCCTGCTGGACCCGGGGGATTGTGGGGCCACGCCCCGGCCCACAGGGCTCAGGGGGAGGGTGTCAGCCACGCCTTCGCCCCCTCGGTGCACCTGGGGACCCTCAGCCTAGGGGTCAGAGACCGTTTCTCCCAGGCTTGCTGCTTTCAGTGACCAGATGCAGGACCAGCGACAAACTGCCCACCTTTCAGTTCAGAGAACAGGCCCAGCGGCACTGGTCCAGCCTGCAAGGTGCCCAGAAGCAGGCGGGCATCTCAGTGCCCGCAGTCTCATGCACCGAGGGGTCCCAGCCTCTGAGGCGTGGACGGGGCATCACCGACCGGGCAGCTGGAAGGGGTGTGGGCCCAGAAAAGAGGCTGTTTCAGGGGGTGAGCGGCCCTGCACGCCCTCTGACCAGGTGTGGAACTGCAGGTGGCTTTGGAAGTGTCCCAAGATGACTCCTCCCTCGGGCCGAGGGGCTCGCCTCACAACCACGGGAAACGCCTGGGCTTGGCTGGTGTCCCTCTTAGGGGAGACCCGTCATCTCACCAAGTCACTCATGCTGAGATCGCTCTCTCTCATTTCTTCCATTTGGACGTTTGCAAGTGTGGCGTTTGCAACCTCTCAGGAAACGAGGTTTGCTTTTATTTTTCTTGCAGCAAGAATCTGCCTCTGTGCTAATTACAGACTCCCCTGCACGTGGACTGAATCAGTTTCTATTCCCAAGAAAATCGAGACCTCGGAAGCGATGGCCGCGCCAGGGCCTTTGCACCTACGATCTTTAGTCCTGTTACAGCAGCAGAGACCGGGAGAGAAGCAACGTGCCTGCTCCTCGAACTTAGAGGCCAAACATGGTGCTGGACGGCCAGGAACCTCTGGACACCTCGACTCCCTTTCTCTGCTGGGGCCGAGTTCCAGAAACCACTCACTCCAGGCCAGCGAGGAGCTGTTCCTGAAGGGCCAGCTCACACCGAGACCCCCGGCCTGCCGGGGGTGGATGGAAAGTGCTCCCTCCCTTGTAAACGTTCCCTAAAAACGCAGCAGGCTGGATGTGCCTGGAGAAACCCAGATTAGAAAAAATAGAGCGAGAATGGGGTTTTCCAGCCAGAAAGGGGGGGCGGCACCACTGGCATCACAGATTCCCGGCACCCTGGCTGGGGACACGGGCTGGAGGGGCGCTGGGGTTCGAGGCGGGGCTGGGGCAGGCGTGTCCCCACCCCAGTGACCACGCCCGGACAGCCCACACAAACGGAACGCTGGCAGGGCCACTCCCATGGGCGCCTGTCCTGCCCACCCAACGCCCACGCTCGGGCCTCCTGTCAACAGCACTCCTAACTGAGCAAACACACCGAGCCCCGGCCGGCCGGGGACACGGGGGTGCCCGGGGCTGACTCAGCAGCCAGCAGGCCAGCCGGCCACGGAGCGGCCACAGGCTTCTGACCATCACTGACCTCCAAGGGCAGAAGCAGCCCCGACGCCCCTGACTTGCAAACTGTCTTCCCCGAAGCCGCCTGACCTCCAGCTGCCAGGTGAAAACTGCCCTCGGCTCACTGCGTGTCACCAGACACCCTCTGCCCTCCCGGGGTGGCGTCCTGCCCCTCTGGTCTCAGGGACGCAGCCTAGTAGAAGTGTGTGCGCGCACGCACACACACACACACGCATGCACATGCACACAGGCTCCCTGCTTACCTTCCTTCCAACCAGCCCCGAAGCCCGTTCAGCCCACAACTGCTGGCCCCTCTCTTCCACGAAGGAAAGCCTTCCAGCCCAGAATGCAGCATCCCCAGGGCGGGGGCGTGTCCCCCCCCCAGGGACCTGGCCTCCCTCTCCAGTCTGGGCAGAAGGAGGAAGATCAGCTAAGGGACGGACTTTGGTTCCACCCAAAAAGTCCAGGGCAACGTAAACAGGAGGGTGGGGCTCCCTGCAATCAGGTGGAGTGCAATCTGAACCCTGGAGGCGGAGGAGGAGGCGGGGCAAGGGCTTCCCTCCAGAGTGTCCCTCCCCGAGCGGAGAGGCTGACCGGAGGAGCCAGCGCCAGCCCATCGCTTGACCGACGCAGTTCTAGCCTCACTTGGTGCTTCAGCACATCAGCCAGGGCATGCCCTGCCCGGGCACCTGCTGGGGCTGTGGTCTGTGCAGCTGAGGGGGCTCCAGCCAGCGGCTGACCAGGTGCTCCCAGTCTTTAAATGCACAGAACACACCGAGCAAACAGCAGAGCCCCCTCTGAAGCCAGAACACGCTGGAACTTCACAGATGTCAGCACCCGTCAGGGACACGGGGCACAGCCAGCAGGTCAGCACGGCCCGCCCCCCGATCCCGGAACGGCCAACCGGGCACACGACACGTTTGCACCACGGAGAAAGCCTCTTTTGCTGTGGGACACGTTGCACTTCTTGGGCAGGGTCCACTACGCCTGGTGCTGGGTGCAGGGGGCTGAGCGGCCCGCCTCCCCTCCAGGGAACTGGCCCACTCCACTAATAACAGTGCCACTGCGAGTAAAGGAGGGTCGGACTGACCACATCCATTTTCCTCCGAAGAGCTCACGTCGGAAGAAACGAGATGGGGGGAGGGGCTAGCTCAGCGGTGGAGCGAGTGCTTAGCGCGCACGAGGTCCTGGGTTCAATCCCCAGCGCCTCCGTTAAAAAAAAGACCCCTAATTACTTCTTCCTCCCAAAAAGCAAAAAGAGAAAGAAACGAGATTAGAAACGGTACCCTGAACGATCGGGTTTGGGGACTGGGGTGAACGGGGGCAGTGCCAGAGCGGGTGGGGTCCCCCGCCTCCTGCAGGACGGAGCCCTCAAAGCAGACCCTTCCACCCCAAGGCTGACAGCCGTGCGGAAAGCACCGGCTGAGGTGCCCACGGTGAGGAAGGGACGAAATAATCGCGGCAGGCTGGCCTCTTCTCTCCACTTCAGCTGTGTCAGAGGG